CCCCCCCCCCCCTTAAAGAACCTTCTTGTTGTAGTGTTCTCGTTGCACACACATTGCTTCTTCCTAGTGTCTTGGTCCTCAAATGTTAAACTGGCAATGTGTTCTTTGTCAATACTCATATGTTCGATTCTACAAACAAATACAGTATCGAGTACTGGCCAGATCCGCAGAGGGGAATCAGGGAAGCGTACAGGGTTCTGAAGCTCGGGGGAAAAGCATGTATAATTGGACCAGTGCACCCAACATTTTGGCTCTCGCGATTCTTTGCAGATGTGTGGATGCTGTTTCCAAAGGAGGAAGAGTACATAGAATGGTTCGAGAAAGCAGGGTTCAAGGATGTGAAGCTGAAGAGGATTGGGCCCAAGTGGTACAGAGGTGTACGTCGACATGGACTGATAATGGGCTGTTCTGTCACGGGTGTCAAACCAGCTTCTGGTGACTCCCCTCTGCAGGTAAGATATAGATGGTTTTCTTTCTTTCCTTCTCCTCCGGGTGGTTTCCTTACACAAGTTGGTCAAAAATTAATGATAAGCAGCTGGGGGCAAAGGAGGAGGATGTGTCCAAGCCTGTTAAAAATCCATTTGCCTTTCTGTGGAGGTTCATATTGGGAACCCTAGCTGCAGCATGGTTCGTGTTGGTACCCATCTACATGTGGATCAAGGATAAGATCGTCCCCCAAGGCCAACCCCTCTGATCGGCGCTGCCTGGCTGGGCCTTTACTCTCTCTCTCTCTCTCCCCAAGTCTACTTTATTTTAGCAGTTTCCACATCTTGCAAGCCAAGTGCTCTGCTCTCATGTATAACTGACAAGTTATGTGACGTTAATCAGGGAGATGAAATCGTTTCTGACGCCACTACACTCAAACCACCGTTTGTAAGCTTACTTACTATGGGTTGTTCACTATTGAGAAGAAGCGCCACATATACTTGGGAATTCGAATCAAATCCATCAATAGGACAAATCCCGACAATCTGATACATTGTGCAGTAAAAAAAAAAACATTCCCCAACTCCCAGTCGCAGGATAAATTCTAACAGTAAATCTGACAAAAGTAGCATGCCGCTAGTTTCAAACAAGTCCGAAATTCTGAAGATGAGTCCGATCAAATCCTGCAACATATGAATATGAAACCCTCGGACACAGCTAAAATGATCAATCTGCATAGTTAACCAGCCCTCTCTGCCCAGACGGAGGGCTTGAGGAAGAACGGCTGGGAGATTCAGATGCTTTCCTGTCTCGGATGCGTTTAGCAGTCATAGGAGACCTCGACACGGACCTCGATACTGACCTTCCTTTGATCTGGGATCTTCCATCATTCACCCGGGGCCCGAGGCGAGATTTTAGACCTTCACTTATAGTCCTTTTCTCTCTAGGGCTACGACTAGGACTATGACGCCTTGGACTACGGCTCTGGCTGCAATCTCTGAACCTGCTGCGGATCCCACCTGGACTGCGGGAAATGCTCCTGCTTCTCCTCCTGCTGTACCTATGGAAGAGAGCACTTCGTTGAGTTTTTAAAGGCTTAAAGCTCGCCCAAGTATCACAAAGGCCTCAAAGATGGTTTTCAGCTTTCCCTAAGGATTTCTGGCTTATACCTTTATTGCTCGCCTTTTGGCCTTAGCAACAGAAGGCCGTTTCCAGATAAACTTTATCAAAACATAAATGAATTTTTTCAGCGCAACAGGCTTCAGGGGGTGTTTGTAGTCAAATCGTTCGAGGATGATGTCAGAGTCTACATCTCTCTCACACACACAGAGGGAGAGAAGGAGAAAAAGGGGGGGAAGAGAGAACCTTGGAGGGCTCCTCCTTCTAGGTGGGCTTCTGAAACGTTCTCGCGGAGGCGAGCGTTGAGAGTAACTCCTGTAGCTTTGATACCTCCAGAAATATCCAGATGGGCAATGAGTCTCTACACTACACGGTGATGTACTAATATCAAATATAGAAAAATTGTACCTATCCTGGTTCCTGGCCTGAAAGCTCCTTCTGTCACGCCAATATCTAGGAGGCGGACGCTCAGGAGAAGGGGTTCGGTACTTCCGAGCAAAGGAGTAGCGTTCTGTGAAGCCACGCCCCTTTCTGATACGCTTTGACACTCCACCTGGAGATGGGCTTAAGGAAGATTTCCCCACAGTTTTCTCCGCTGGCTCCTCTTGAAGACTTCTGTTTCCATTGCCAAGGTCTTTCTCGGGTGTCCTACTCGGGCTCTTCCTGCTGCCATTGTTGTTCGAGATTCTCCTAGGACTCAGACTATTGCTCCTGTGCAGAATTAGGAATGGCGAAAAACTTGTCAAGGACCACTTATGACGACATCAAATGGTAAAACTGGAGCTGAAAATTCATGTCCCAGGGGATAAACCTTGATTTAATTGAGTCTTCTGAATCGGAGTGTCGATCAGTGATTTCAGGGTTGCTGGTCTTTTCTTTATCTTCAACTCTATCTTTCTTCAGGGATGATTCCGGTTCCCCACGGAGCTTGTTCTTCTTTAGTCGAGAATCGGTAGTGTCTTTCCCTGCAGACACATTTAAAGATTTTTTTTCAAACATCCCCACTAGCAGGAGACAATAAAATTACTTCAGCATAAGACAATACATAGGAAAAGATGGATCAGAGCACCGAAAGCATGAGGAATACTCACCTTCAGTGTTCCTTGACTTTCTGGCTTTATCCCGGCCCACTCCCCCAACATCAGAACTGCTACTCCTGCTCCCTTCTGTATCTCTTGAACTGTCCATGCTTCTGCAATTCAATATTAACAAGATTAAGCAAAATAATTAGCACTAAACTTTAAAGCCGGAAATAATATAAACGATTAACATGAACCAACAGTTTGGAATTGTGTCGTGATCGTCTATCTCGCCGAGCTTTTTTTATTTCCCTTCGGCCTTTTCTCTTTTTCTCTCCACCTCGAACTTTGTGTTTTTTTGTTGACCTCCTCTTCTTACGATTTTCATCACTAGAAGAGCTTGAATCATAGGATGATGAGTCTGTCTGAGATTCAGAATCTGAATCCGATAAAGAATCAGAATCTGAAGACAGGGAATCTGAAACAGAACTCGAGCTATACGAATCAGAAGACGAGTATCTTCTTTTTCTCTTCTTCCTTATGTCTCTAGAAGTTTTTCTGTGTCTTCCCCTAGCTTCACCATCAGAACTATCCTCAGAAGAAAGGCCCTTACTTGATTTCTTTGATTTCCCTGAGATGAAAAACATAAGTGTGCATCCATGATAAATATAGCAACACTTCATTCAACAGTAAACTTTAATTACCCTTCTCTTTTCCAGCAATGTCCTGAGCTTTTCCCACAGACACTTCACCACAGTCTATGATTTTTGCTGGTCGGGATGGTTTCCCATCGCTCGTCCCCACAAGCTCCATTTTCTTGACAACTTCCATTCCCTTCACAATTTTCCCAAACACAACATGCTTCCTACATCGCGATGGAAGACGATCAAGCACTCACTCTTGACAATGTACATTACTTTTCAAGTTCTCCCTACTCAGAAATTTGAATTTCCAAAACAATCGAATCTAGGAGAAAACTTACCCATTAAGATGTGGCTGGCGTTTAAAGATTATAAAGAATTGAGAACCATTAGTGTTTGGGCCACAATTTGCCATAGAAAGGACCCCAGCTCCATCATGCTCCAGCTTAAAATTCTCATCTGAAGGGTAGAAGGATATAGTGACAAACTCACCTAGATCCAGAAAACCGAAAAGGAAAGCAAAGGAAACTTACCTGAAAACTTCCCACCATAAATGCTCTCTCCACCTGTGCCTGCAAACAAACCAAAACCCTTACTAATCTAGGCATTAATATGGGGGTCAAGCTGAGTATCTCAGTCACCAGCATTCAATCAGTAAATCTACCAAGCTGGCAAACAAGGTAACACATTGTAGCTAACCATTATCTTTCATTGCACGCTGCCTCATTATCAAAAGAACGCTAGTACCGTGGACTGAAATTGCGTTTTCTCTTTCTTTATATAGTTACAAATCTAGCTCCTTAAGTTGAAAGTTTGCACTCGCTGTGCATTACAGTTTCAGTCACTACTCAATCGGTGCCGGTGGTCTATACTTCTAGTCTTCTACCAGGAAATAGCATGCACAAAAGGGAATACGTAGAATGTAAATAGAGCATAGTGTTACACTGAGTAGACAGTTTGGGAACAAATATGATTTCATGTACAGAACACATCGTATGTTTGAAAACATACCATTTCCATTTGAAAAGTCACCACCCTGGAACAAGAAAACCATTGAAAAGTTCACTTGTCATCGGATAGATACAAAAAGGTTGAACATATATTTCAACAATATGCAATATAAACACGAGAGTAATCCAAAAAAGAATAAAAATAAGCAGCAAACATTGCACATAAGTGTAAATTGTAAAACTTAATCAAATTAATTTTCAGAAACAGCCTCTTTAACTCGTGAAGGTTCCGCACAAGTTTCACGATGAAAAACAAGGGGGAAAAGGCAGACATACTTGAGCCATGAATCCTTTAATTATACGATGGAAAAATGATCCTTTAAAATGCAGAGGCTTCCCAGTAGTCTCTCCAATACCCTTCTCACCTGCACCAGTGAAAACATCAAGATGCAAAGCCCTTTAACTTTCAAGCCAGATAGAAGAAGTTAAAAAAAAAAACGAGAATGGCGGATGCATACAGTTGTGAGCAACATCAGAGTACCTGTGCAGAGAGCTCGGAAGTTTTCTGCTGTCTTCGGAACAACATCAGCAAAAAGCTGCCGTTGACAAGGAAAAACGAATTATTGAACTCCAGGTGAAAAGAAAGAGGAAACTAGGCCGACGTTTTACCTGAATGACAATTCTTTCGACAGGATCCCCACCAATAGACACATCCAAGAAGACATTAGGGTTCTTTTTCTTACTCATTTCTCCGCAAACAGAACTGCCAAAAAAAACAAAAGGTTAAAGAAAAAAGCTGGTAATCATACATAGACTTTGACCTAAAACTCAAAAAAAAAAACGTAAACCCTAAAACCCCATCACAATATGATAACAGATTCGAGAGCTTCGGTGATTGCGCAACAAACGCCACAGGTAACAGAAAACAAATCAGACGAATCTCACGATACGAATCGAGATGGTGAAACAGAATCGACGCGATATACAAAAACCTATCTGAAAGTTTGGAAGTTTCGGCAGCGCACCAGACTGAACCCAACAGAAAAAAAAAAGGGAAGAAACTAAGCTTAAGGTTCTCGAACATACCTGACCGATCGAGGGATCTCTCCAGGCAGCGATACGAAACTCACAATTATCCAGAGCCTCGTCGTGTTCTTTCACCGTCGTTCGCAGGCGAGGCTTTACTCGTGAAGCAGGAATCCAGTGGACTCCGGACTATGGTTGGGAGTTTTATGCGCAGTGTTCTGCTCGCCACGTGTCCTACTTAAAACCCCCTTTTTTTTTTAATATTGTCTAGTGGGCTAACGTGTAAATTAAGAGACCCATTCTACTGCCAAGTCCACGAGGGCCCCTGGACCCCTCCCCGAATACCAATTTCGATATGACTTTTTTTGCTCAAACATTATGACAATATCGCCCAAGCGCGGATAGATTAACCATCTTAAATTATCCATTACCAAAAAAAAGCATTATTACAATCATTCGACGTTGTCTTTATTCATTTTATAACCTTAAATTTAGTAATTTACTACAGCTTATAACAAAATCGATTCGACTGGATGTATGCTGAGGAGTTATTTTTCCCCTGCTTAGAAGGTTCTTTGTTGTATTTTTTTTTTTCATCATTAGTATTGTGTTTTTTGTGAGATTAAATAATATGCGACATGTTCTTAGTTGATGAAACTTCCCTACTTGGTCTTTGAGAATTTAATGAATATTTGAATATATCAAAGTTTGAACGAAGACGCGTCGCAATAATAGGATGAAATATAATTGAAAAAATGAAAAACGAAGAGAGAGGGGGGGGGGTTGAGTTGACCATTGACCAACAACGCACGAGAACCATCTTCTTAAATCAGATGCTTCTACTTCGTCATTTGGACATGGAGTTGGAGGAACGAGACAATATAGCATTTTCTTCTTGATCTATCTTCAGCTTTCATCCCTTCGATCGGACATGGCAGATGCTTTCACCGATGAACAGATTCAAGAGTTCTACGAAGCCTTCTGTCTCATCGATAAAGACTCCGATGGTCAGTTTTTCTTTCTTTCATGAGGATTTTTCTGGCAATTTTGTCGGCATATAAAACTGGCTCACATTATAATCTGCTGTACGGATCGTTCATGGCACAAATTAATTCAGGATGTAGTAGGGCCTAGCCAGAGATGCTTCCTTCCTAAAGATCCGTATGGATCCGATGGATGTGAATTAAAACTGAAGCATGATGATAATAATTATATATGTATCAGGGTGCATAACGATGGAGGAGTTGACAAAGGTGATGAGATCAATGGGGAAAACCCCAAAGAGAGAAGAATTGGAAGAGATGATGAAGGAGATGGATGTCTATGGCAACGGCGGAGTCAACTTTGAAGATTTCTTGTTTATCATCGCTCATAACACCAAGGTGCTTCATGCTTGCTTATTTCATGTACACACAAAAAAGAAAAGGGAGAAAGAGACGTGCCACCACACATCCAGAATATATATATCTACAGCATGAAAAGTTTAAAACTAATAGAGAAATAGAACAGTGATGTTGTGGTATGGGTGTTGAATAAGATGGGGTGTGTACAAATACAATGCAGGAGGAAGGAGATGAGCTGAGTGAAGTGTTCAGAGTGTTCGACAGAGACGGAGACGGATTGATATCAGCGGGGGAGGTGAGTTTTTTAGGGTAACGTATGAATGAAGTAAAGGAATTAATGCAAGAGACGTTTAATGAATGTGTACGTGGCAGCTGGGGCAAGGAATGAAGGATATGGGGATGAAGACAACGGAGGAGGAGGCAGAGCATATGGTCCGCGAGGCCGATCTCGACGGCGACGGGTTCCTCTCTTTCCAGGAGTTTGCTAAAATGATGATCGCTGCCTCTTTCTAGTGTATTTTTTTTTTCCGAGTTGTGGATTGGGATGATATGAACAACTTGGCGTTTCTAGTAAACACAAAGGGATCGCGTAATGGGGATTGTCGAACTGCGTGTGCTTGAATTTTGCAAATGATGTCCAAAAGAGGAAGGAATGAGGCTGTCGGAGCCTCCTCTGCCTAACCAAAAGATAGATCATGCTGGCACCTTGGATGCACGTACAACATAGTCTAATCTAATGGAAGGAGAAGACGCAACAAGAAGAAGAGGAGGAGGAGTGGGCTTTAAAGGGAGGAAGAGAAAGAGAGAAGGGCAAATAAATAATTTCGGAGAGGAATACAAAACAAAACAAAAAGACTGAAAGAGTGAGATTAAAGAAGGCAACACCATGACCAAAAGGGGTAACGAAGAGATTAGGGAGCCCCGGCGCTGTCCCTCAAATAGGATCCTTGATTGTGATACAACCTCCCGGACAGCAAGCAGGCTGTGAAGGTGGTATCGAGTCCTCGCCGTCTCTCAGTCACTCGTTCGTGCAAGAATCGAAAG